TGATCCTGTCTCTTATACACTCTTAAGTGGATATGTTACAGCAGCTTATGATAACCATTGGTGGGTAGCGTGCATCAAGGAATATTACCCAGATAGGCATGAGGTTGATATTACATTCCTACACCCACATGGACCGTCGCCATCTTTCATATTTCCAGAACCACCAGATTCTTTAACCATTGATCATCAAGATATACTAACAGCTGTTCACCCAACTACAGTGACTGGAAGAACATAATATTATTTAATCTAAAAAAAAAGAAACAAAGGCTGCCCATGCTGCATTTACCAAAAAAATTAAGGTTTAGAACTAAGCCAAAACATCTTTTTGACATTGATTTTATTTTGACAAATGATTTGTCTTATAATTTTCATCGATGGTGTATCTGATCATGATTTATGGTATGTACTGATCAGTTTATTGAACATTAATATGCTTCTTAAAATAATGATTCCATAATACAATATAATGTAATTGAAAAATGTCCTAATTTTTTGAAATTGCATGCAGTAATATGTATAATTGCTTGCTGCTAAGGAAGTGTCCATCACTAATTTATTGAGACTTTTTATTTTACATTGTAATTCAACTTTAAAACCTAAATTCCTAAATGAAGAGTTACTTTTGGTTATACTACAGTATACACATATTAGCACACATTACTCTGTTAATGTACAAAAAGTGCTATTTCGTAAGGACATGTCATATATATATATAATTGCTCACTGTTCAGGAACTTTTGGAGCGCCCATCACCAAACTTATAGGGAAGCTTCTTTACATCATTAGGTATCTCTAACATGAATTTCAAAAAAAAAAAAAGATACATATTTTTTCTATTCAACTTTGAACTTTACAACCTGTCATAACTTTTTTATATTTGAATTGAGGACTTAGCATTTATTAATAAAGTTATAGAGCTACTCAATAGCTTTAAAATGACACTAAAATCAGCTCTGTAGGTGCCATACTTTTCGAGATATGGTCGGTTAAACACGCAAGATATCGCTAATTAGCCAAAAGTTCGTTAGCAGATATCTCGCTAATTAGGAGGCCTAGAGAAAAAAATTTTCATTTCTGATCGTTTCTCATGGGCCTCAACAACATACAAAAATTTGAACAAAATCCGAGAGATTGAGGTTTTTTTTTGGTTGATTTGACATGGAATTACCCAAATACAAAAGCTTCACAATCATCGAAAATAATTAAGTTGTCTTATGAAATACAGTATAGTTGTGTGAGACCTTTAGAAACCAGACCTTTACCATGCTCACCCCAGTTTTAAGCTCATCATCAATCGTCATGCCAAGATAACTAATTACAATTTCAATTATATCATCATGAATTTTGATTGGAATGGGTAACCTGTTTACTGATTCCCTAAAGTCAAAAATTACTTCTTTAGTTTTCTTGCCATTTACAGTTAACTGATTGGTGTCACACCATCTAACAAAACCCTCAATGGTTTCCTGATAGGGATTCTCGTTACCACCATGTACTACACCTACAATTACGGTATCATCAGCGTATTTAAACAGATACGTGTTTGGGCTACGAGATCATTAGTATATACACATATGATAATGGCGATAAGTTTAGAAAGACAGTTAATGTAGCCACCTTAACATGTTCTCACAATAAAAAAGTTATTACTCCAAGAAATTTAATATGGGTTAACCTCAAGATTGCACACACGCCGTGTGTGTTTTGTACATGAAATAGGAACTTTATTTATGACAATGACATGATTTTAAGTTTGTAAAATCAGGAATTCATAAATGAGGAGTTCTACTATAATTGCTTATTGGATGAACAATTGTGACTTATTAGGAGGTTCATTAACAATTGCGTCCTCAATCCGTGCATAAAATTTGTTTAAATTATTCGCTGTGGCTAGAGATATGGTACCGTATCTTAACTTCTGTTTGCTAAAGGTACGGTAAATTGCATTATCCAATAAATTGCTGCCACACCAGCGTGAAAACATTGTTCAGAAATTGCTCGCTGTGAGCCTGCTTTCCTGCCGAGTTGTTATACAAAGTAAGACATCAAAACTCAAGGAGTACAAAACATGTCCATAATTGAACAACTCACCAAAAATACATACAGTAAATAAAATTTTAAATGTCATGACAACAGAACAATTAATGGCAATCTTCTATCACAATCAATAAAGTAAAAAAACCAATGGAGTTGTTAACTTATTCACTCAAAGATACATTATAATATATAACACCTGGCTATAATGTATATCCAAGACTGTATACAATAACGATGTGTTAGCGTTTGTACGACAAAGGATAGTAGGCCTTTAATCACAGAGCCTACAGAGTATACAGTAGGGTCTAAGTATGTAGTGTAACTTTTGACCTGATCAGCGACATAATGTGAAAGCACACCACATCAGTGGTGGCACTTTATTGGATAATGCAATCTACCGTACCTTTAGCAAACAGAAGATTTACAACTTTTTAAACAGGTTTCACTTTTTTTCGCATGCTGGACATATTTCTGTAGAAGTTAAATCACGTTGTGGTCTGAATTTCCGATGCTACAGTAGAGCTAACTAGACATTATAAGATTACGGACGCGAACAGTAGCACTGTGTGCTCTTGCAGGTTTGTCCACGCATTTAGCGTAATTTAGAAGTAGATCTGAAATGGCTTTGTCGCAGTTGCTTATCACCAACACCAACCTGGGTGAATCTGGGGCCTTCTCTGATATATTGTCCAAAATCGACTTAGCGGAGTTATTAGCATTTGCGTCCGGAGGTATATTCACTAAAGTGTAAAGTTACGTAAAGTTACATAAAGCTTGTTGAACTCTTGTGGTAGATAAAATGGATGAAGCACGAGACACATCAGTTCAACATTCTTATCACAAATGGTAGTGCTGCTACACTAACGATTGTTCACAGAAAAACATAATCCACCACCTTTTGATTTCCCAGTATCAGACTTAGATCGATCAAGACGTACTAAGTCAAAACCATTAATGATTACAGAATTGTCATTCACGTCAGGAGTAAGCCATGTCTCAGTAAAACATAGCATACTGGCATCGCAAAACTCTGATAAGTATTTAACGCAGCCTTGAATCTCATCAAACTTGTTGGTAGCAGCAGTCAATTTCTGTTTTTTCTGAGATGATCCTTTACCTCCTCTTCGTCCGCGCCACCTAAGAGAGGGTAGGCCTACTTCATTCCTTCGGGGAACCCAATCTGTAATGTTTAGGCCGAGTACACTTTTGTCCTGGGACCTATGTCCATGGGTCGCTGCACGGACACCAAGCACAAACAAAGCATGACCGTCGA